ATTTGACCTGATTGTTTATAGTTCATAATGCGTGATCAAAACCGAAAGTTTCTGTGATGACTGCCCTTGCACTGTTCACCATGTAAGAACTTATTCACTATGTAAGAATTTGTTCACCATGTAAGAACTTGTTCGTTATGCTTCAGAAGATTGGAGACTGTTGAGAATTAGGCTGGGGGTTGATTAATGATTGTGCATTGAGTCCCCTATACAGAATTTTATTGTTGTTAACAACCATTTGATCAATAAATATGAGAGATGCCCTCTCAAAAAAAAAAAATCACATTTAAGATATGGCAGTGAATTGACAGAAAAATGTAATACCACTTCCAAATGAGAAGAAGGAAAAACAGCGCATTTCAGTATGTCAAAGAATGAACCACCCGCGCTCCCTCACTCCCCATTGCAGCGACGACTCTGCCACTTGTGACAGCATCTCCACTGTCGCACCGGCAGCTGCGGGGGACTGTAAGGCAGAGAGCAAACATTTGCTCTCATCCCCAAGAAGCTCTTTGGAATGCAAGATGAAAGAAAGTGGTCTCCTATAAAGCCAAGAAGAAAAAGGGTAGCTTTCCCATATGTGGGATCAGGTGAATGTGGGAAAGGTGTGAATGGACACTGCTGCTTCCACCGGCTCAGAGGAGAGGAGAGGGCATTTGCCACCATGGCAAGGCCACAGAGTTCAGCCCCTTCTCTCCAAAGTCCTGAAAGACCTAGGGTATTTGGTCCAGTCTGGTAGAAGTCCCAGAAAAAGGGGACAGAGTTAGCACCCAGGGGAAGGAGGGCCCTGAAACTCCAGCTGGGAGCTGGAGCCCCAGATGCAGTCCCGGCTGGGGGACAGGGTTCCTTACCGAGGGCAGGAGCAGTTCACCCACTCCAAAGCCATGGCCAGTGGGGAGCCTCCCTTGCCAGTGAGAGATGTGATGCTGGGCAAGGTCACAGGCAAGTCCTCTAGAGGCACAGGCACGGGCCCACAGGCCGGGCAGTGGACCACAGGGATGGGTGTGCCCCAGTACCGCTGCCGCGAGACCAGCCAGTCCTTCAGTTTATCACTAGTCACGTGTCCGCCCACTCTCTTCCTCCTGGCTTTCTGCGTCAGGGCCAGAAACGCATCCTGCCGGCTCATACCTGTGAACTGAGAGGGAAAGAGAGAGACTCTATGGTGCAGATATCACAAGTTCTCTGGAAAGTCTATCTTCTCCGTGCATCACTGTCTTTATATTCCAGAAGCTCACAGACAACAGGAGCCTTTCACCCATACTCTGCCTATCCACTGAAAGAATTCCTTTATCCTAGACATTCAGTCTATAGAGCCAGGGGAGTATTCAACAGACCCCCTGAAACTGTTTGCAAGAAGCCAGGGAGCATACGTAATGCTCAGTCCTATGCTGAGGAATGGGCATTTCTCTGGGCACTTCAGAAGCCTCCCTCTGCCCGTGAGTGCCCCCTTTCTTGTCCTGCAGTTATCTGGGGCTCCCTGATAGGCAGCCTGGCTTGGCTCTGCACCACGTCCAGGGAGCCTGCTCACACACAGTCTAAAAAAAGGTTTAAGATTCAGTATCTCAGAGCATGACTCAAGTCTGGGGATACAATTTATGAAGTAAATGTAGGTCAGAACATGAGGTCAAAAAATGCTGTCACTCTTAGGGAAAAAACCCGACAATTCCCTTACTCTTTCCGCCCCACCCCCGACCCCTGCCAATATGTAAACCTACAGCCAGGTAGTCCTAAACCTGAAATACCCAGATCTTCAGGCCTAACTGAATCAGGATGAACCAGAATGGGGCCAGAAAGAATCTCCCAGGTGATTCAGAGACATAGCCAGGTATGCAATCATTATGTTAGTTCCCAGATCTGCTATACATTAAAATCACCTAGAGAGCTCTGAACATTCTTGATGCCCAATCTGTGTCCCTCATCCCCTAACCATTAAATTAGAATCTCTGGGGTAGGACTCAAGCATCAGTATTTTTAAAAAGTTTTGGTGTTTCCAAAGGGCAGTCAAGTTTAAGAAACTGCTATAAACCAGGACTCTCAAACTTCAATGTGCATATAAATCACAGGGGGGTTTTACTGGACTAGGGCAGGATCTGAGAGGCTCCATTTCTAACAGTATTGCCAATGCTGCTGGACGAGGGGCCAGACTCTGAATAGCGAGTGATTTTCAAAATGTGGTCCCTGGATTAGCAAGTGGTAGCAGCATTGCCTGGAAAGGTAGCTGAAATGCAAACACGTGGGTTCCACCTGGGATGACTGAATCTGAGTCTCGGTGGGGGCAGGCATACCGGGCTTTAACAAGGCCCCAGGCGGTTCTGGTGTGTGCTCAAGCAGGAGAGTCACTGCTCTAACCACTTCCCGCTTCTCCCTCCCACGCATCACCTCACCTCTTCGTCATACTTTCCGGCCTGGTTCAGTGTCAAGGCTGAGCTCAAGTCCTGCCAGACTTACCACCTAGCAAGAGATGACCCTGACCTCTAAAGATAAACATGACTCAGAACCTCTCTGTTCATTTCCACTCAGCTTTAGGTGGCAGTCAGTCAGTAAGCCGGGGAGAACAGAGATCCCAGGAGAAACAGCCAATTGCAGCCAGCTCTCAAGGAATTAGTGTTTCCCTGTGAGAGCTCATGTTTTCTCAAGTAGAAGATTTCAAAATTAAAGTTGAGTTACTGTAATAACTATACTATTCTAGGGTTGGGTTTGACTTAACAGTTGATAAACTTCCAGATATTGAAAAAAATTGAAAAAGGATATTATTTTGTTGTTATAGATTAAGAAATGAAGCTATAGACTGTTGTGGGGTTTAAGAAATGAGGCTATGACACCAGGGATGAGTGAAATGGCAGGTTGTAATTTGCCCTCAAAGGAAAATGCCCATGAAAGTAGAGGTCATGATTTTAGAGGTGAGTTGTGAGGCCTGTGCCATGGGGAACCAACCTCAGCAGAGCTGCTCAGTCTCTCGGTACCATCTGGCAAAGGCTCAATGACTTCTGAGTAAGGCAGGCTCAGAGTTTGGGCTAAGAGGGTATCCTCTGAGCTGGTGCTGGGAATTCCTGTTCAGAGGAGAAGAAACACAGAACATCTTTGCAAATACCCAAATAATAAAATAATTGACAGCACTGACACTCAGCTTTAGCTTCTTAAAGAAGAAACTACCTTTTATAGTTAACAAAAGCTACAAAACCATACCACACTCACTGCGAAAATGAGAACAGTCCTGGAGAACCCCACCACCCTAATACCACTAGTTTGCCATACTGGTATTATTTCCTTTAAGCCTTTTTCCTTTGCTTAGTTTTTATTTTTATCTTGCAATTCTAAAATATAGCAAAATTCTAAAATTATAATTATCTGGGGGAGCCTCTTCTTTCGATTCCCTCAATGACAGGACAGTGGCATCCTTGTGAGAAGCAGGGCTGACTAGCACTCTAGAAAAATCCACACATCAGGAAGTCAAAAGCTGGCAACTACATTTCTTCATACTGTGCTTTGTTCCCAAAGGCAATATTATGTTTTGCATAGACATTTATTCTTCAGCCCACATATGCCCTTGAGGAGATGAAGCTGAGCTTAAGGAAATCACTCATCCAGAAGCCTGCTGTTCTGGCTCCAGCTGTTCATCAAAACGGCTATGTCAGCTCCTGGATCTCCAGGGCAGGGTCTCTTGACCTTGGCACTGTTGACACGCTGGACTTTGCTGTGGGGCCTGTTCTTTGCATTGTGGGATATTGAGCAGCCTCCCTGGCCTTGACTAGTAGCACTCTCCCAGTTGTGACAAAAATGTCTCTAAAACTGCCACAGGCCCCTGGTGGCAAAATTGCCCCCAGTCAAAACTCCTGATATCCTTACGGACATATGTGGCCACTGAGCAGGATAAAACTAAGGGTGATGCACAAAATGCGTAAGTCAGATTTCTGTGAACAACCTCTCAGGAACACTGCCCTAAAAGGCTAATTCAATGTTTGGGGGACATGTTCTAAAGCTCCTTAGTAAGACAGAAAGCTCCGTGGTGTGACGGAAAGTTCTATGGTGTTTCAGCTGAGATTACTGACAAAAAGCATCTAATGAGGCAAATAAACGTTCAGAGTGGACTTGAAAGACACTGAAGGGTGAGGACAAATGCAGGCAATAAATATTACTGAAAAGTCTTCATGGCCAAGAAGGGAAAAGAATCACTTACTACATTCCAAAAGTGTATGGTTTGGAGTCACTAGGAGGTGGGTTCAGAGACGCTGTGCTGCAAAATGTACCAGAGCACATAAGGGATGCTCTGGACTGTGGTGTTGGCCATGTGGGGCTCTGTGGAGTGCGAGCTACTTGTACAACACAGGTGGGATGACAGAATGACTGCATTACCTCTTTTATTTCTGTTCCTGGTCTTCTTAGAAGCCAAGAGGCAATGACTTAGAAAATGTTAATTATGTAACTGGGAAATCAAGATAAGAGGAAAAATGATTTTCCACACACATCTAAAAAATCAGATTTCTTTCAGAACTCTCAATATTACAGCAGTACTTTGACTCAAAGTAACAACAATGAAAAGCCACATCAACAAGAACTTTCCTCTACTGTTTATACTGGCTGGCTGTAATAATGAATTTTACTAATTATGCAATACATAAAAATCATTGCAGCATTTATTTTCCTTAAGCATCATACTCTCTAGGTTTAAATGGTCAGAAGAGAATGACATGAATGGCTTAATATCTTTTTTGTTTTGATTTTCTTCAAATCACTCTGTCAAAAACTGATCTGAGGATTGTGAGGAAAAATGATTTTGGTAAGAAATGCTGTTTCTTCAGTGTGCTAAGAAATAACTCTCTCTGCAGGGTTTCTGCACTTTGGAGACTGACTGGAACTTAGAGCAGGAATGCCGGCAGAGAGACCCCGGGGGGCACTCAGAGGGCAAGTCTGGGTCGGGCCTTGTGTGTGCCTTGGCGCCCTCCCAGACCTCCTGCTGGCGATGGTGACTCAGAACTCCCAGGGATGAGGAAGGCTGCCAGGACACCCAATTTACAGTTCTATATATGCCTTTAATTTTACTGCTGTTTCATAAGCCTCTCCCCGAATAGCGCAAATTCACCTCCTCCACAAAGCCTTTCCTGAAAACCCAGCCCACATGGGTCATTTGTGCTTTGAGCCCCCAGCTCAGCAGTTGCTGTTGGTTCTCTGAGTTCTGAAACTGGATTTTTACCCGAGTTGTATCGTTCCCCACATCATATGTACAAGTCTCACCAGCTAGCTCTACTGGCAAGATCTATGGGCCAGACTATTTTTATTATTTTCAGTAACAATTAGCAAGGTGTGATGTACATGGTATTTTTCAAAATGTAATTCTTAAACAAGGAATGATTAAAGAAGGGACATTCATTTTTACAGAGGCAAAACAGATCATGGAATCAATAGCTCTTCTAATTGACAGGAACAGGCAAGTAATTTGATCTTAAACCTGATAAATATATTATCCTGACTACATTTTAATAGCTACTTACCTATTTTCGAATCCAGAGAGCCCTCCAAGTCAGCTTTGGCCAAGATAACAACAGGGACTTCCTGCTGGGTGAGCATGTTCACAGCTGTCACGGGCGTGAGGCAATCTGAAAATGAGAGCAAATAACTGTGGACACCAGTCAGCTGGAATGCTAACACCATCTGAGTCTCAGAGGAGACAAATGAGAAAAATAAGCATTAGAACTTCTGTTTTGTGCTAATTGTTAAAGAATTTGTTCTTTGAAGGTAGTAATAGATAATTCACACCAGTAGAAAATCAAAAGATTAAACAAATACAGGAAAATGTTAATCCATGCTCACAATCAAAGAAATGAAATTACATTTTTACTTTCCAGATGGTGGAGTAAAGACATGCCCACCACCCCCTTTTCCATTTGAAAAATACCTGAAATATACAGAAGAATGAGCAACACAAAGACCTTTAGGGAGACAAGATGTCTGGAATTCCAAATCCTAACACTTGCAGATCGAAGTGGATGGAAGAGAAAATGACTGAGAAGCAGGGAGATTTCCAAACATACAAAGACAAAAGTTTCTTCCCACACACCCTTTCTTAGGAGATACTGGAGGTGTGTTCCTACAAAATGAAGGGATAAATCAAGAAAGAGACAGATATGGGATCCAGGGAACAGAGGTTCCAACAAAGGAAAGAGAGTGAGGCATTCTCAGAACAGAGACAGAGGGAAGTCCTGGATGACAGATGTGCAGCAGAGGCCTGGAGAGTGACCAGGTCAGTTGTCAGCCGCAGAGAGGGCCCAGGAAGCATCCTTGGGGAAAAAAAAGGGGTTGACACCATATCTGACAGTTTGAACATGTAGCAAACTATACTGAGAGGAGTTTTAAAGAGCTTCTGGGAGGGTATGGGAAGACTTTGTCAAAAATTCAAAGAACACAAAGCAAATGAAAAAAATGAAGATATTATGAACTTTAGGTAAAACAGAAAGTTATTTAAAAAGGAAAATGTAATCATGGTATACTGGGCTCAATTGTGAACAATATTTATGTGGGCATGATAAAACACTTCATTGGAATTATCCACAAAGGGTGTCACATTAAATGAAGCTTGTTACAACTGCTGTAGTGTATTATGCATAGACCAGACACATACACATGAATCTTCACTGCAGGACTGGAAGCATGAAGACCCAATAAAGTCCCAAAGAAAGACCAGAAGAGAGGTGGTAAACAATGAGCAGTTCACTTGAGCTTTTTTGTACCATAAGCAATTAACAACAGTTATAGTTTAGGAACTCTTACTATTTACACTTACCATGTTTTAAGACTATATAATTATCTGAAATGTTTTACAAACTCCAAAGTTAAAATAAGCCTAGGAATTAGGATTTGTTTTTCAAAGAGGTGAAGATAGGCTGCGTAGGCATCTAAGCCAGTTCTATCTTCTTTCACTTTGCTTGTCAGGAAGCAAAGGACAGGGTGTTGCGGGGGGCAGAGTAAAATGCAACCAAACTGGTCTCCACAGCTAAGGGTCAGCCAGCACCCATGGTCCCGTGCCTGGGAGGTCCCTGCCGCCTGAGCTGCCTAAGTGCTGACTCTTTTCAAAGTGGGACCCACATTTCTGATTCTACATTGTCCCTTCTCAAGTAAGTGTACATTTGCAAATTCTGCAATGGTGATATCATGTTATTAGGGGGATGGAAGGTGAGGCGTGGAGGAGCAAGAATGCGTCACTGGGTAATGTCTGGAACTGGTGAACCAGAAGACAGCAGTGTAGGCATATTATAGAAACACATGGAGGTCTGAACTAGAGACACTGTCTATGGCACAGACTGCCAGTTGACCCCTTATCTGCCTCCCCTTCTGATTCAGCAACAGAATGTTTAGTTAGACACATGGCTGTAGAGCTAAGGGCAGCACTGCTCAGTCCCCTTTACGCTAGGTTTGGCCATGGGCTATGCGCAGAAGCAGCTTCTAGATTATGCTCTCAAAGGGAAGGAGCATGCCCTTTCACCCTTTTCACCTAATGCAGTGCAGATGAAGAGTAGAACATCTCAGAACACAAAGATAAGGGAAAGACCCCTGAAAGTAGACAGAAAGGGCCTTGGCCCCAACCACCTTACAAGGCAGACTTGTCATAACCACTGAGTTCCATGTGGACAAGAAATAAATTGCTTTTTACGGCACGGTTTTCCTACAACTGTCATAGCCACTAAACTTACGTCCTAAGTAACACTCACCAAGCTCATCAGGAGAAGCTGGGTAAGGAGGCTCCTGGGGCTCCTGCTGCTGTCAGTACCCTGACACTTCATGGAATGTATAAATACTACTTGGATTTTAAAAAACGCAAGTTAATTTTTAAAAAGAGAGAAGAAAATTAAAGTAATCTTAAAGTGCTATTTTACACTTGAGAAGTTAGCAAAAACTTTTAGAAGGGTAGCAATCAGTGTTTGTCAAGTGGCCCTGGAATTCCTCTGTCCTCACTGGAGATGGCACTGTAAGCTGACAGGGCCCCTTCAGAAGCCAATAAAGGCAACACTTAACAAGAACTAGAAAAATGTTCATAAACTCTGATAAAAAGAAATCCCATCCTTGGGAATGTCTTCTAAGGAAGTAATTCTAGGGAGGCAAAGAGCTGGATGAACATAAATGTTTATGGCAGCAATTTCCAAAACAGGCCAAACATGAAAAAGGCCAAATGGCCAAGATGATAAAGAAGGTTTGGATATTAAAGTACAGAGCTGACAGAATATTATGTATTGACTAAAAACAATTGTGAAACCTGCATAAAAGCAAAGAAACATTTTTTTTGATATCACATTAATGAAGACCAAAATATAAAAACAAAAGCAGTCTGATTTTTAAGATACATGTTTATGGGAACATGAATTAAAAAGTAATATGACCACATGCAAAAGAATGAAGTTGGACCCTACCTTTGCCATAAATAAAAATTAACTCAAAATGGATTAAAGACCTAAATATAAGATATAAAGCTTGGGAAGAAAACATGGGTGTAAATCTTCATAATCTTTGATTAGGCAGTGGTTTTTTTAGATAGAACACCAAAGGCAAAAGCCACACAAGAAAAGGTAGATAAACTGGACTCCACCAACAGGAGAACATTTTTGCAAATCACATATTTATTAAGTGACTTGTATATAGACTATATAAAGAACTACTAAAATTCAACAGTAAAAAGACAACACAATTAAAAAATGGCAGAAGATATGAAAAGACATTTCTCCAAAGAAGATACACAAATGGCCAATAAGTACATGAAAAGACACTTAGAAGAATTACCCGTCAGGTAAATGCAAATCAAAGTACAATGAGACACTTATCATGGCTGATCATTAGTAATGCGTGTAACTGTCAAGTCAGTTGTTAACTGCTGTACACCTGAAACAAATGTAATGTTGTATATCAACTACATATCAATTTAAAACATAAAATGCTTAAAATCTAAAAAGAAAGCCACCCACAATGAGATACCACTTAACACCCATTAAGATAACTAGGATTGAAAAGATAGATAACTACAAGTGTTGGTTGAAGAGGTGGATAAACTGGAAACCTCACATACTTCCGATGGGAATGTAAAATAGTGGAGCTGCTTTATAAAATAGTCTGATAGCTCCTCCCTTGGGTTGGGAGATCTGTGCACCTCCATGGCCTGAGAGATGATCTCCTTCCCCAGATTGGGGAAGTTTTCAGCAATTACCTCCTCAAAGACACTTTCCCTTTTTCTCTCTCTTCTTCTTCTGGTATCCCTATAATAGGAATATTGTTCTGTGTGGATTGGTCACACAGTTCTCTTAATATTCTTTCATTCTTAGAGATCCTTTTTTCTCTCTGTGCCTCAGCTTCTTTGCATTCCTCTTCTCTAATTTCTATTTCATTTATCGTCTCCTCCACCGTATCTATTCTGCTTTTAAAACCTTCCACTGTATGCTTCATTTCTTATACTGTGTTCCGTAATGATTGGATCTCCGATCGAAATTCATTCCTGAGTTCTTGAATATTTTTCTGTACTTCCATGAGCATATTTATGATCTTTATTTTGAAATCTCTTTCAGGAAGATTCATGAGGTCAATTTCATTTTACTCTGTGATGTATTTATGATTTAGCTTTGAACCAGGTTCCTTTGGTGTTTTATATTTGTATGTGGTGCCCTCTAATACCCAGAAGGTCTGCTCTCTGGAGCTGCTCAGCCTCTGGAGCAATGTTGGGGGTTGCAGGAGTGCGGTGTTGGTGCCTGAGGGGTGGAAAGAGTTGTTTCCTGCTTCCTGGCTGCTATGCCTGTCTCCACTGCCAGAACCAGCGGGCCGAGCACACAGGCATAAGCCTCTATGCTTTGTGTTTGCAGCTGGTGTAGGCAGAGCTTCTCTCTGGCTGGCCTGATGCCAGGGTAGGCGCTGCTGCTTTGTGAGCCAGGTGCCAGCTGGCTGGGAGGAAGGCACAGCAGCCTCATATCTCAGAGGGGGGCCTTGGAGCTGCGTAGCCAGCCAGGGGGCTGAAGCGCCTGAAGATCATTAAAGTTTCCAACCTGCTGGACCGAGTGCACCTGGACAATTTTGACTACCTGTCCTTTCTCCTGAGCAGGTAAGCTGTGTGCAATCCTTGCCTCTTTAGCAGCCCTCTCGTTGTTAGGAAGTCTCTCTGACTGCCTGCCTTTCTTTTTTCCCAGAGTAGCCAGATATGGATCCCTGTTTTCTACATGCAGCTGGAATCCCAGTCTCTCCAGGTATTCTGCCTGTCTTAGCTTTCCAACCCCCCTATTCACCAGAGCAGCACGTAATGTAGGTTTGTGCTCCTAGAGCAGATCTCCAGGGCTAGGTGTTCAGCAGTCCCAGGCCTCCACTCCCTACCTGCTCCGTTTCTCTTCCTCCCACTGGTGAGCTAGGGTGATGGAAGGGCTTGGGTCCCACCAGGCTATGGCTTTGGCATGTTATCCTCTATGAGGTCTGTTCTTTTCTCCAGGGGTATGCAGTCTGACATAGCCTTCTTTTCTATTGCTCTTTCAGGATTAGTTGTATTAATTATATTTTCATATTATATGCAGTTTTAGGAGGAAGCCTCTGTCTCACCTCTCACACCTCCATCTTTAATCCCCAGGAATCTCATGCA